TATGTAGGCCCTGCTGATGCACTCTAAAAGATTCGTAGTGCATGTTAACACAGTATTCTTTCCAACAGGACTACATCAACATGTACTGAGTACCTTTTTGAGCATGCCATCTTTCCTACCAGCAGTATAAGAGGTATTTCATCACCATTATACATTTTCATCACCATTATACATAAACACTGTGGGAAAGATCCATAAAGGAAGAAATAATGTATCTAACTGCCACTCTGGCCACCTAAGTCCAAAATTTAGATCCTCAAAACACCCATTCAGCAGCTCCGCCTAATACCATAGGTCCATATGCTTATTTTCGTGAAGTCCCAGCAGCACCTAAAAACCTACCAGCAAACAGGGAAATATTGCTTCAGTCCTGACTCCAGATGACTCTCTCATGCCTAAAGCCCCAGCAGGACCTTAAAGGAGGTGTTCTCCCACCACTACCTTCCCTGAGGGGCCCAATCCAGTAGGCATTATTAGAATTAGCCTTAAAGCACATCTACTGGATCAGGCCCCATACAGAACCCCACAGAAAGATAATGGTGCTCACCCCATATAACCTTTAAAAAAGTGGTTATAGCACTCTGCAAGGATGCGGGAGACCTGAGTTCAATTCCTTCCTCTGATTTGCACCCATATCTACCACCCAACAGGAGAATGGCCTACCCACTGAACTATAGTCACTTTCTCCGGCCCAATTAATATTTAATTTATCTATAGTGGAACAGCTTCAATGGAAGATACTGAAATACCAACCCCAGAATACCACTTAGCCCAGTGGCTAGGGCATTCTGCTGAGAGGCAGGAGACAGGTTCAAATCTCTGGTACAAATCAGATGGGAAGGAGATCTGAACCTATTGTCCACCACATCGTGAGGGCGCTAACCACCAGGCTAAAGGTTATAAGGGGGCACTACCATCTCCTCCTCAGTTTGTTTTTTTGAGGGAGGAGGCAAGAAATGGCTAAGGGCAAGGGTGAGCAAACTTTTTGGCCCAAGGGCCACATCTGGGTATAGAAATTGTATGGTGGGCCATGAATGCTCACGAAATTGGGGTTGGGGTGTGGGAGAGGTCTCTGGCTGGGGGTGCAGGCTCCGGAGTGTGGCCAGAAATGAGGAGTTCAGGGTGCAGGAGGGGGCTCCAGGCTGAGTGGGGGAGTGTGGGCTCCAGGTGGGGGTGCGGGCTCTGGTGTGGAGCTGGGGGGTTTGGGGTGTAGTAGGGTGGGACCGAGGGGTTCAGAGGGTAGGAGGGGGATCAGGGCTGAAGCAGGGGGTTGGGGCCCAGGCTGGGGGTGCAGGTTCTGGGGTCAGGCTAGCGATGAGGGGTTTGGGGTGTAGAAGGGTGCTCCAGGGTGGGACCAAGAGGTTCGGAGGGGGACCAGGACTGGGACGGGGGCTGGGACTCAGGGGTGGCTCAGGGGTGAAGGCTCTGGGTGGCGCCTACCTCAAGTGGCTCCCGGAAAAAGCAGCATGCCCCCCCCACTCCTATGCAGCCAGGTGGCTCTGCTACACACTGCCCCTTCAGCAGGTGCCGCCCCTGCAGCTCCCACTGGCTGCAGTTTCCGGCCAATGGGAGCTGCTGGGGCAGCGTGCAGTCCCCTGGCTGCCCCAGTGCATAGGAGCAGGAGGGGGGAAAAGGCCGCTGCTTCTGGGAGCCACGCAGAGCAGCCCCCCATCCCTGCTCCCTGGCTGGAGCGCCAGAGCAGGGAAAGCCCCAGACCCCACTCCCCAGTGGGATATCAAGGGCCAGATTAAAATGGCTGTAGGGCCGTAGTTTGCCCACCCCTGGCTTAGGGTGTTTAACTCTAGGAGAGAGTTCATGGCTGTGAGCCCCAAAAATGAGTTCAGCAAATAACTCCCTTTGAGGAGTGGGACTCATGCCGGGGGAGGTATGGCATTTCTATGCTCAACTTGCCGGCTTCTATGGATTCCATTCTTAGGCACCTAGCTCTCCCCATGCATCATACAGGGAAGCTTGGGCATTTAACTCAGGGATGTGGATTCCATTTGGCAGCAAGATGGATAAACTCAGGTACTGTCATGGTGTTTAATTTAACTGAAAGCGCACTGTGGCAGGGAACTAGTCTTGTGTATTTGTAAAACATTATGCATTATTTTAACAAGTATTAAAGCATAGGTACAGGCATCAACTCATTTACCAGGATACCACTTTATATATCACTTGGAAGATTAATTTAAGAAAGATTAGTATATTGTGTTCAAGCATCATATGACTAAAATTAATTTTTGCACATATGTCTTATTACCTATTTGAAACATCATAATTCAGAGAATTAAATATGTGCCATTATTTGAACAAAATTAAAGCGTTGGAATACTTCACAGATGTAAAGTTTGGACTCAGTACATTAATAGACAAGTGCACATTAAAGTTCTTTTCAGTGAATATCAAGATTACAAAGAATCCTCTGGAAAGAAGCAGATTCAAACAACACACTGTAGTTCTTCAGTATTAGTGATAAAGTAAGAGTATTTACAGTAGGTGATCAGTGATGTCTCTCACACTCCGCAAATATTTCCCCCACACTAGAATTACATGCACATCCTTATGCTAAGCCATAAAAACGTTTTGATTGTAAGTCAACATAACTTGATCAGTATTCAAAATTAGAACGCCATTTGTGAAAGGCAGGTCGGTATTAAAGCAGAGGGTACTGTGACCTACACAAAAAGTGTTTCTAAAACCCAGGAATGAGAATGCCTCATCATTAATTGCTCCAAGTGATCTTACCATTGTGCAGGTTTCCATTTACTTAAGAGTTACCTACAGTAACTCCTCACTTAACATCCCACTTAACATGGTTTCGAAGTTACGTCACTGCTCCATTAGGGAACATGCTCGTTTAAAGTTGTGCAATGTTCCCTTATAATGTCCTTTGGCTGCCTGCTCTGTCCACTGCTTGTAAAATTCTGCGGAAAAGCAGCGACTTTACAAGGGAGCATTGCACAAGTTCCTCTTCTCTGCCACCTCCTCCTCCCTCCCAGCACTACCCCTGCCGCCAAACAGCTGTTTGGCAGCGCTTAGGACTTTCTGAGAGGAAGGAGCACCACTGCTCCTCAGGAAGCACTGGGAGGGAGGGGGAAGAGCGGGGACACGGTGTGCTCCGGGGAGGAGGTAGAGTGGGGGTGGGAAGAAGAGGGCCTGGAGCTCCCCCAGCAAAGTCGGTGCCTGTTCTTCTGGGGGGAAGCTGCCGCTGCCCAAAGATGCTTCCTAGCATCCTTGCCTGCCTCACCGTCTGCAGTGGGCTGTGCCTGTGTGGAGTAAGCTAGGGGCACTTCCCAACCACAGTACAGTTCAGTATATAATGCCTTGTCTGCCCCCCAAAAATTTCCTTGGAACCTAACCCTCCACATTTACATTCAATCTTATGGGAAAATTGGATTAGTTTAACATCATTTCACTTAAAGTTGCATTTTTCAGGAACATAACTACAACGTTAAGTGAGGAGTTACTGTATTTGCACACATATAAGATTTTGGTGACAACACGTCAGAAAGCCACTGCACTGAAATAGACTGGTTTAAGAAAAACCAAAATAATTTGCACTAGCATAAATTTTTCACCTTCTGGCATTAATGCACACTTTGAAGGGGAAATAAAAAGCAAGAAATTGTACATCCTCTAACAACTTTACAAAACTGTCATGAAAATGTACCTGTCCAACCACTAGGTTTTTTTTTTTTTGTTTTGTCTTTTAAAGTAGAGTATCAAATGATTATTCTCTAGGTAAATTTTGCAGGGCTTTTCTAAACTTATGAAAACCATGAGCATAGGAACAACCTGCAAAATAGATTATAACATCCAATCCTCAACACCCATAACAATTCCAGTTACAAAACAAGAAGTAAATTTGTTACTTCTTAAATTTAAGTTTACTTTAGACAAAATTTAGAAACTCCTACAAACAGAAACCAATACCTCAAATTAATCTAATTCCCAGCTACATTTTAAAGGCCATTCCAAACACATAATGAAGTTAAAAATAAAAATGAATGCAATGAAGGAGTCAGAAAATCCCAAATTCAAATTACTTTTGGGGGATGGGAACAGTTACATTACCACCTTAAAATAAAATTTCCACTTCCATTATAATCCCTGCTATTTTGACAGACTGTTACAAGAAAAACAAACATGTATTAACTGCCCCAAGGGGACTGGCATCTTGTTCCCAGGTGCTCCAACATGGCAACAATTACAGAATGGGTTGGAGATTAGCATCATAACCCAGAAGACACAAATTTGTGGCCACAACGCTCCCATCTGCTGGACATACAATTGAGCAATTCCAAAGATATTTCAAACACGTTTTTAAAATGGAAAGTGGGGCTGGGGCACTGGGGAGAAGAGGGCTAGCGTTTGGACGACGTGCAAATGTGGCTTTACGGATTTTTTGCCTTCGTACGTCTAGCACGCAGCCAATGAGAGGTAGGCGATGCCACCGAGAGCGAAATACCCTGAGCGCCGAGGATGGCTGATGTACACAGGAGTCTCTTCGCCCGGAGGATCACGGCGAGAGGCGCCATTTTAGGCGGCAGCGAAGAGCAGCCGAAGGAGTCAGTCTCCGAGCGGAGCGACAGGGGGCGCAGAGCTGCCCGGGAGGAGGATACCCCGCGCCCGCCCGCCCCGGAGCTCCTGGACCCGCTATCCCCGCGGGATGAGACAGCTTCAGGCAGCCGCAGCGGCGCTAGAAAACATCGGCCCCGCCGGAGGAGATTCATCCACGGAGCCCCCCCGGCCAACACCGCTTCCCCGACTCTGCCGTGCTCCACAGGGACTCCCGTAGCTGCCCCTCGGAGAGGCCAACCTCCCCCTCCCCTCCCACAAGCGGTTCCCCAGCCCCCTCCTTCCCCTCACCCGGTCAGAGGCGCTCCATTTGCTCGCCCCCTCCGCTTCGCGCCCCCAGCCCAGACTCCCTCTCCCAGGTCTCGCCTCACCGCAGAGGTTCGCTCTTCCCTGCCTCCCCGGCCCCCACCTCCACTTACCTTCTCGCAGAGGCTCTTCACCTGCCCCTCGGACAGCTGCTTGCACTCGTTGAGCTGCTCCACCCACTGGTCCAGCTCCTTGGTGAAGACCTTCTCCTCCATACCGACCGCCCGCTCTCCTCACCGGCTCCTGCCGCTGGGCTCTGCCACGCCACCCCCTACGATCCGCTCCAGGCCGCGGCCTCACAGGACACAGGGGAGGCGCGGCGGCGGGAGGCGCTAGCAGCTTCCACAGCTCGAGTCCGGCTCCCGGCAGCGGTTCCAGCGTTCACTCGTTCTCCGCTCCGTGTAATGGCCGCCGCGCCCTGACGTCACCCCCTCTGCTTTCATTTCGGAGGGGGAGGGGTAACGCAGCGCATGCACAGAAGTGGACGGGAAGGCAGCGCATGCGTGATACCTACAGTGAGAGGGCGGGGCCGGCCGAAAAGAGACAGCGCATGCGTAATGATCGTAGCACAGGGACGAAGCCCGAAATATCAGCGCATGCTTACTTCAACGCCGTAGCGATGTCAGGATTAGCGCATGCGCAATGCTCACAGCGAGGTGCGGACGAATGGAAGGACGCATGTGCACCGCTGGAGCAAAAGGAAGAGGAGAGCAGAGGGACGCATGCGCAGCACCCATAACGAAGCGACGGGTGAAGGTGCCTGAACTGAGCGACTGGAGACGATCAGAGCATGCGCAGTACAGCTGGAGGTGCTGTAGTCGGGATCCAGACTAGAGCGGTGTTAGGCGTCCCTCGCGAGAGGGTGCCGCCCCTGACTCCAGGCAACCGGCCCAACTCCGCCCTCCCCCAGCAGGGTGCTCCCTCCACAGCCGCTCCGGGGAGCCCGTACGTTGGTGTCTGTTCCTCACCTGGCCTGTAGCATAGCAAGGTGGAAATGGCCCACCTTGATTATCATCCACATTGTAAGGAGAGCGATCACTTCAGATAAGCTGTTACCAGCAGGAGAGTGGGGTGGGGGGAGACAAAACCTTTTGAAGTGATAAACACCCATTTTTTCATGGTCTGTGTGTATATAAATCTCCTCACTGCATTTTCCACTTTTATGCATCCTATGAAGTGAGCTGTAGCTCACGAAAGCTCATGCGCAAATAACTTGGTTAGTCTCTGCGGTGCCACAAGTCCTCCTTTTCTTTTTGCGGATACAGACTAACACGGCTGCTGCTCTGAAACCTGTCATCAGCTATGTGGTTTTCCTGAGAGCATCAGATATGCAGCTGATATGAGTCACCATGACACAACAGAAGGGTAAAGTTGCTGATGAGCTGGAAGCGGTATGAAGCTTTCAGTTTACAAGGAAGGGTCAGCATGCCCAGTGAGACGTAGCGAAAAGCATCCTTTTGTCTAGGAGAGGGAAAGCTAGGACTAAAGTGACCTGCTCCTGGCCTAGGAGATCGAGCCCGTCTCTACATTCATCCTCTTCGACCTTGCTGGGGCATTTCATGCTGTTGATCATACAGTGTTAATGACATGTATGAGATCCCGCGGGAGTGAATGGTCTGCCCTTTGCTGGATCCACTCATTTCTAGTAGAGAAGTCACAGAGGGCTGTGGTGGGCACATGGTCCTTGTTAGCAAAGTCACTCTTACAGAGACCCCCCTGGCTCAGTACTCTATCCCTTCTCCTACCACCTTTATAACACTTCAAGGTAAGATTGCACAGATTCATGTGCCCTTAATGAGAATATTATTCCAACTGTATATCTCCATTGATGTAGCTTCCATCATCAGCAAGGTGTCTCACTGTCTGCAGATGGATGAGGAGCTGATGGCCCAAGTGTAAACCAAGATTGGTTTTAGTAGGAACCACTTAGAAGAAATTGCCAGTAGTTTAGCCTCACCCATGATCGGGGGAATAAGACCATAGAATAAAGCTTCTGAAAAGCCTTTGAGCCATCTTCAATCATTAGTACTATTATATATAGTGCTTGTTATGAAGATGTTATTTGCATTTTAATTTGGCAACAAAATTGTGCCCCTTCCTCTCAGGTAAGAATCTAGTCACTGTGAGTCCTTCTTTAACTTTCATCATCTCTGAATTAGACCAGTGGTTCTCAACCAGGGGTATGTGTACCCCGGGGGTACACAGAGGTCTTCCAGGGGGTACATCAATTCATCTAGATATTTGCCTAGTTTTATAACAGGCTACAAAAAAAGCACTAGTGAAGACAGTACAAACTAAAATTTTATACAGACAATTACTTGTTTATACTGCTCTATATCCTATACACTGAAATGTAAGTACAATATTTTTATTCTAATTGATTTATTTTATAATTTATATGGTAAAAAGAGAGAATAAGCAGTTTTTCAGTAATGTGCTGTGACACTTTTACATTTTTAGGCCTGATTTTGTAAGCAAGTAGTTTTTAAGTGAGGTGTAAGTTGTGGGTATGCAAGATAAATTAGACTCGTGAAAGGGGTACAATAGCCTGGAAAGGTTAAGAGCCACTGAATTAGACTGCTATAACACTCTAGCTGAGGATGCATGAAATGTCCACAGAAAGGCTAAAATTGGTGCAGCCTACAGTGATAACTGTATTTGTTATACCAATAAAATAAAAACCAGCAGGATCTTATTAAAGGGGAAAAGGCAAAGTGCCGCATTTATTGTGAATACAGAAAGAATCATAGTAAGCAGTTAGTTATAGCTATAACATTACATTCAATTTCATATTTATTCACACATTCATTCATACACACACAGGTTCTGCAAGGTTGTTATCATAGTTACCAGCTTTAGAGTTGCTCATGCCAAGCCACTGGCCAGGTGGCCTGGACATGAGGGGGGAGCAGGGCCTTGTCAGATGCTCATCAATGCTCCTGGAAGTTGGTTTGCAGAATCAGACCCCAAAGTTCTCACTTTCTAGAGTCCATTTTTATAGGAATTTCTTCCTATGCCAGTCTATGGGAATTGCTTCGTCATGCTGTTGCTGAATCAATCAGCAGATGGCACATTCCTGACGGCTCCCTGCTGCCAGATGTTATCTTGTTCTTTGGTTCTCCCATCCTTGAGGCTGTTGGGTGGATTCCAGTCTGCCCTCCGGGGGTCCTCTGGTTATTTCCACTTGACGCCTTCTTCAGCCGATGGACACTGCATTCTTAGGCTGGCACCTCCCTGATCATTCAGTTATTATCCACACCAAGCATCCATCCACATACATCCTCTATCTCTATTTTAATCACAATTGTTAACAAAGCAAGATGAATACAACAAAAGGGCGGGGAGTCTTTGGGTGCTGTTTCTGTTGTTACAGAGTATTGCTTTGAGTCTCTCTCTGTGTGAGTAGTTGTTACAAAGAATTGCTTTGAGAACAGACTCTGTCTTAGAATGTACTAACACAATTAGCAGCTTGCAAGTTTCACACATAGAGGGAGAGAAACAGTACCAAAAACCAAAAGACCTCTTAATTAGTAATACCCTGGAATTTAAACTATGGGGAATCAAACTCATTTGTGATTTTAATACAGAACTTCTTTAATATGAGCCAACATATTTTATGCTCACTTTAGACTGATTTAAATGACTTCATAAGTTTCAGGACAACACTGAAGTAGTAGTATTTGAGTCAAGCTGAGCCAACTGATTGCCGGACATAGCTTTGCTTGCACTCAGGTCACCGCTGCCATTATTAGAAAGTCTTATTTGGAAGGTGATATTAATTGTGAGAGTTTGGGTTTCGCCCCCCCCATTAATATTGCCTAGGAAGAAAATTAAAGTTTTTTATTAAACAGGTCATGGGAGGGGTTTGTTGTTTTCTTCATACTGGAACAAAATCTATCACGGGAAAATACAATAAATGTAGCATTTATAAGTGTAAATTACCTGCTCCTCTAATGGGTGACAGTGCCCATCTTTCAACTTAATTAACACATGACCTACAGTGACACCTCCAGGGCTCTAATATTAGAGTTGGGAGAGGATGTTTCCATCAGTGGTATTGTAAAAATGCCTAAATGCATCATAATTAATGTTACAAAAATTGCCATTGTGGTCACTAGTCACCGGCAGGGCACTGCAAACTTTATGAGCTATCTGATTCACCCCATAATGAGGATATAAGCATCTTTGGAAAAAAGTATCAGAGAAGAGCAGCAAAAATAGAGCAGCAAATCCTCACTGATGAGCATCACAAAAGGGACAATGTCAACATGGCTCCCCCTATTATGAATGCAAGGCCAAATTCTTCCCGGGTATATCTCCATCATAGTCCAAAGAGTTATATTAAAAATAATTTTAGGCCTCAGGACCACAGCTGTTGATAAGAGTGATGAATCTGCTACCACCAGATCCTTCCAGCCAACAGTAAGCAGAAATAAGGGCCTGCAAAGTATGACAAAGTATCAAGCGGTAGAGAAGAGTGCATACAGCAAACGGGGAGCATTAAAGGGGATGTTTGCCTTACTCTGAAGCAGCAGGCATGGATTACTGCAGGAGGCAAGATCTGGTCTGGCTAATGTTACATTCCTATATAAACCCTTTTGTGAAGAACCTAAACACTTTATTAAAAAAATGTTACTTCAATATGTTTAGGACACTTTAAATATGAGCTTTTTGGTTAATCTGGCCAGAAAGCAAGGAGAGGGTGGCCCTATTCCTTTATTTTTCAAAAATACAACAATTTCTTTGTGTTTGTGCACATCCAAACATAAAACCAAATAGAACAAAATCTAAACAACCCCCTCATACGCACACACACAACCCAGGACAAAGTCAAGTATAAATATATCCCCCCCTTTAGGCAAAATCATAGGCCCAACATTTTCAACTTCAAATTTTGCGTCCCCAACCTGAGAAACAGTGGATCTGAGTTTCAAAATCACATAGCACCCACATTTTCTTCCAAATGAAGTTAGTCCTCTCAACAGTAAATCTCTCAAATCACATACTTTTGTTATTCAGTGTTGCACTCCCTCACCCCCATATTTTTTATTTCATCACAAGAAAACATGCCAGGTTGTGTTCAAGGTGTTCCTCTAATTATTTGCAGAACACACAGCTGGGTCTGAATATAATATTCTTAGCATTTACTTAACACTTTGAATCTTCAAAACACTTTACAGACATTCTCTCATTAATCTTGCAGCAACTCTGAGATAAGGTAATAATGCTTACTTCCCTATGTTACCCTCTCTATCTCAGTTTCCTTCTCTGTAAGTATCTTGCCACAGGCCACAGAGGGAGTCAGCAACAGTGGTGGGTTTAGAGGCTCCAGTTCAGCAAAAAACTTAAGCACATCATGCTTAAGTGTTCTGCTGAATCAGTCTCACACCGCTTTAGGTTTGCTGACATGCTCACATCAACATACTTCA